TCTAATCTGTGGCCAATTATAGACCCCATCTTAATCACTTTAGGGCAAATATGTGATTTTCGCGATCCCAACTTAGTCACCTTCTATTCATGTATCTACCTTATATTCAGAATGAAGAACACTTCACTTTTCACCTACAGTACAAACATTCTGGTACGTTTAATATGCTAACCGTAAATATGAAGAACTGACTTACCCTAAAACTCAGAAAGTGTGCGACCCCATTCTAGTACCTGTATTGAAAATGTGACCCCATTATAGTCAAACCAGTCGTGAAAATGCGACTCTATCCAGCGGGAAATCCCCATTAGCCTCTTATAAGGAGGTACCCTCCCCCCGGGGTCACTTGCCTCGAACTACAGACCCATTTTCCTCACTTCTCTTTCCTGTAAGATCATGGAACGTATCTGACATTTAGTCACATTATGTCCCACCTTGAAGAGTTCAAGATTGTGTCTGATATCCAGTTTGGCTTCCGCAAATCTCATTCATGGAAACCCAACTGCGCATCACTCTCAAAGATCTTGCTAAAAACCTTGATCATGGCAAGCAAAGCGATATTATCTTGTTTGTCTTTGCTAAAGCTTTTGATACCGTCCCACACCAACGCCTCCTACCCAATTCAAGCTAAGCCACTACGGCGCACAGGACACAATCAACAAGTGGATTCAAGCTTGGAAGGCTTAAAAATTCGCTTGTGTCAAGTCTCTACGGGAACACTTGGGGAGTTTTTCTTTTTTTTTCGAGCGGATCTTTGCGTTAATGCCGTGAGATGGGTAAAGGGAGGGGCGTTGCGGGTGGGGCGGGGGAGGGGGCGGTCCTACGCAAGTTATCACGGACATCAAAAAGTTGAAATAACGCATCACAGTGATTGAAATTATGTGTTTACGTTTCACGGAAATTTCCGAAGTAACTAACCTTTGCTCCCTTCTGCGGTGGACCTTTCTAACCGACAGAGTTTCATTTTAATCGAGGATCCTAAACAACGCTTTTCGGACTCAGCTTTCAAACCAGAGTTTTCAATGAGCTTCAATGATGCTTATTAAGTACCCTTAAGAGCTTCAAGGGATGAATGCTTACTGTTAATGGGTATTTGAATTCGTTCCTTATTTCCAAGAAAACCCATGATTCCTACAGCTTTGGGATCTACATAATACATCATTCCTGCTAATTTGAAAATTTGCTCATTATCACTGTCTGCCATTGCACCCGAGATCACCACGCGTATGAGCTTCACAAAAATAAGAGCTGATTGGCGGAAAAATGCTGACGTCACGGAAGTCGTTTCCCAGCTTGGGATCGCAGACGATATTTTCTCGGCGGGTGAGACACACAAGAACCGACAAAGGCGTATAATCTCGCAGGCTAGGTCATTCAGGAAAAATAATGACGACTAGTCTTTTAAGACATTTTAAAACAGTTCATATGACTGATTTCCACCAATTTTTTTTCCAAAATTTGTCCTTCAGTTGAAACTTACCATCTATTTAAACGAAAAAAATTAGTTAAAAATCACGAATATCGCATAAAATATTTTAAAGTTCATGTACTATACGACAAGCAAACCATTCAGACTTTTGTTCCGTTTGAAAAACGTCTTTCCTGCGGATAATTTATTGATCCCTGCGAGTGTGTTCCCTGTGCTTTCTGGTTTTGGTTCTAAAGCTTTTTCTGATTGGTTATTTCACTCTAGCCAATCATAAGCAAGCACTGCAACAGTGCATGAAACTTTTGGGTGAAGCGTTATAACCCGGGCATAAATCAGACTGATTAATTATCTTCCAAAGAAAAGTTATAGGCAGGCATACCATTTTCAAAGAATATAGCGATATTTAACAGCAACAGAGTCTCTAAAGATGTTTTTATGCCTTGAAAGGAGAAAAAAAACGTTTCACAAGTATCATATCAATCAATCAATTGGCTACTTCAGAGACACACCCTTACTCATGTTTCCCTGCAGTGACCCTAGAGGCCCGATATATAGGCACATTGAACACATAAGATCAATACAAAAACAAACCTTTTAAAGTTTTCTTTATTCGTTTGCACCTAAAAAACAACGGTGACGTATGGAGTTGTTCAGCTACGGCAACTACGGCGAGTCGGAGTCGGGGTCGTAAACGGAGTCATAAGAGCCCTTACGACTTAGTGAATATCAAAAAAATAATAAGCGCGACGGAATCGGAATCAGAAGAATCAGAACGTTTCCATTTTTTCCAAAGAAAGCGACATTATTGCTCCACAAAGTCCACACAAAATTGTACAGACTTTTGTATGGTAGGGGGAGGGTAACCAACTTACAGGTCATGCAGCACTAGAGGTATCAGTAGAAGTTTCCATTAAAAGGCAATCAGTGACTACATGTGGCTAGTGCTTTGTAGAATATTACATTAATTTAAGATAAATCAATGTTGTATAAACACGATAGTCGGTCATTTAGCAAATAAACTTCCTACAGTTTTGTAGGTAATGACATTATATTTCAAATTATTACATTTAAATCAAAGAGAATATATAAAAGGCTGTCAAGGCAATAATAATTGAGTGTGATAACAAATTAAGCGAGAAAAGTCGTATGATTACCCCTTAATAATTCGCCCAATTTGAGGGAATCCTGATTCCAGAATCCAGGGAATTTTTTGTTAAGGAATCGTGAATCAGGGAAATTTTTGCTTGTCGAATCCGGGATCCTGGACCAAGCTCTTCTGACAAAGACTGGAATCTAGTACCTGGAATCCGGAGTCCAAGTCGTGGAATCCAGAATCCAAGACTGTCCCGGATTCCCTTACATGCGGTGAAATAATATACACGAAAAAAATTTAATGGATCACAATTCATCGCAAAAACACATCCCAGTGTCACGCGCGATCTTAAAGTGGTTCTTAAGTCTTTCTTTTACTGTTTATTAGCCAACCTTTAGTTCTACGTTCCTCGAGATATTTTCATTTTATTTCCTTCCTTTGCATTATACTTCCTCGTGTTTTGCTCTGTTAACTAAAAACTGCATTGCTCTCAGCCAATTAGATTCCAGAACATGTATATGAATTCATTAAAGAACTAACGTTTGGTCTTGTTAAATTTTAGTGCGGGCCCATTGTTTTTGAGCAAGAATCAATTTCCGCTGAAGTTCTAGTTTCAATTGCTGCCGCAGTTCATCTTCCTTTCGTTTAAAGCTGAGCTCCATGGCATTTTTTTTCCCTTCGAAAATTTTGGCAAGTTCATGTTTTTGAATTCTCAAACTTTCAAGACCTTCTTTGAGGACTTCAATGCTCTGCAGCAGATAAGCTCGCTCAAAAGAGTACTTCGATTCACATTCGTCTTCTACGACTTTGCGCAAAGAGACTTTCTCCTGCTGAAACCTATCTGACATCGCAGCTTTTTCTCTCTCAAACGATCCTAACATGATTTCTTCTTGTTTCCGCAGCAGAGTCAACAGTTCCCTGTTATCCGCTATATTAAAGACGTTTTCACAGCAACTGCTTGCAGTTCCATTCGCCGTTGACTTTGTAATGGTGTCAGGGATTTCGTTCTCGTTTCGCAAGCTCAGGTGATGGAATGCATCACGATGAACGTGTCTAGTGAAAAGGTCGAATGGTCTCAGTTCACAAAGTTCGTTCCGAAAGAAGTCTTTTTCCTCTGTAAGAACTCTATTAAGCTCGTCTTTAGCTTTAATGATCTCATTATACTCATTCCTCACTCTCATTTCAAAGTCCCCTTTCTCTTCAGCACATTATTTCTCCATTGTCTCTCGCACTTGTTCCAATTTTTCTTCAAATTCCCCCATTTGTCGCCGCAAGATTTCGTCAAGTTCTGTTTGACACGAAGATTCTTTGGTGTCTATAATCTTTTTTCCGCGGCCATTGCTGGCACTTTTATCAGAATTATCAACCTCTTCTTTGAATCAAAAAAACGCTTCTCGTCTGCTCTCTGCGGTCTCAGTCTCGCTGGATTTGAAACGTTCGCTTTTGTTTTCCATTCAGTTTTTCTTTCTCTTTCTCCCTGGGAGGCTATAAATGGCTGACAAAAAAAATTGTATCGAGATTATGCTACCAGCAGAATTCAGTTTCGAATAAGCTGTGTTTATATTTCATTTTCCTTTCATCAGCAAGAGGAGTTCCGTTGGAATTCACTGATTTAAGTGGTGCTTACTTTAAGAACGTTGTGCCAGTAATTATAAACGACAGGTGCGAGATTAGTTTGTTTATAATTTGTATTCCAAGACTTTTGTTTGAAAACTAAACTACCTGTATATTGTGCAAAGTAATTTGCGTAATAGAGGTCGAAACCCCCGACCCCTAGAGGTCTAAGACAATCTCGCTAACAAAACTTTCATGAAGTTTTACTTTGCAAGCGTATCCTCACCCTTGTGTAAATTTCTGCTCAAATATTTTGTTTAGTCAGTTTTTTAATGAGTAAGACATCAATAAGTGCAACCAGTCAAGAGTTAACATAAACTCTTGTTTGTTTGTTTGTTTTTTTTATCTTGTCCTACATCGAAACACTGTTTTGGTGCTACATTAGTTGCATTTAAGCCCGCTTTTAAGTTTGAGGTCGTCTAAAAACTCCCAAAATTGGCCAATGTCCAACTTAATCATAGTTGTCGCAAATATAGTAAAAGGCGCCCTTTAACTTGTACCGTACCACACGTAAGATGTCGAATTTGAGTTAAACGTATTTCGTAAACATTTTATTGGAATGCAGCAGTTTTTGGACGAAATTCTTCTTAATTACAACCAAATTAAGACAAGAATTTTTCGGCCTATAAGCTTCCAAATTGTGCTGCCTAAATTGCCACTGATTACGACGGTTTCTCAATAAAATAGGCGAAAAGGACGGCGCGAAGGTAAATGATGGAGGAAAGTCTCCCACTGTGGGAAGCTAATGGACACGGGATAATCGCGGGCGAAATCATTGCAAGCATAGTTGATATAAAGAAAAACAATAGAGCCAGCCCCATCCCGTCAAGTCTAGTCCCGTCCCAGAATGGAAGGCGCTAAATGACATCTATCTACACCTAATGCCCAGCCGTACGAGGTGTATGGGGATGTCTATGAGGGCAACTAAAGCGTTTGAGGGAAATATGTGTTGGTACATTTTCGTTCCCATACAATACGTAAAATAATACTAAAAGCCTCGCGCCCAGCGGTGATGATGAATGTTAGTCTGGCGGGCTCATAAACCTGTGATGTTATTGCATGTAACCTCTCCTTGCGCCTTTCTTTTTCCTAACATAATTTTTCCTGCTTTGCTTATTAAACAAAAAAAAAACCAAATCAAAAATCAAACCATTACAGCAAGGAGCCCAAAACTGTGACTTCCTTTAATTAAATCACATTCTTTCTTGACTGCGAGCAAGCTCGACTCCATTCCGGTGCGACTGTCGCGCGACAACGCTGGCTCAGTTCTTCGCTCTCACATCTCCTTTCGTGTCCCACTCGCGCGCGACTTCTCACAATGACCTTCCTCGCAGGCTACTTTCAGGGGGACCCAACGACTTTTTTCCAGTAAAATAACTGTTCGAAGGAGCAAATATTGCCAAGAAATTTCTTGAGCTCGAGAAAGGCTTAAAATTCCTGGATAACTGCCAGTCATGTTCGTATAAGGTATTCGGAGTTTTTTATAAACTTATCAACGATTTTCACGTTTTTTTTTTTAACCGAGATATTACCGTCATTATTAAAGAAAGTCACCTAAGAATTTCGGTATAAAGTACGGCTACTCCATGAGATCTATTTTTCGACCAGTCGACCCATCATGGTAGCTAAGAGTTTCGGATGAGACGAAAAAACCTCCAAAAACTTTCGACACGACCAAAATTCCCATAAGACACTGTATATCCTAAACCAAATTCATCAGATGTACAAGATTATTTTCGGACACTATGACATGAGGGTCTCAATGGGGTGGTGGCTTTTACGGTTATCGGCTAAAATTTTGGCCCTTTTACGGCTATCGGTTAATTTTTTTCAGTTACGGTTAACAAAAAAGTTAAAAAATTAACTTCTTTTGTTTCAAAAAGTTAAATATTAATTAACCTGTATTTTTTTAAATAAAGCTCTTCGGATCATCTCGGGATGAAATAAGCTATTCTTTTGAAAAATTTTAACATTTGGTAGATTATACTTTTTTTATAAAATAACTGAGATAGTAGCGGAGCTCCTCGCGCGCGCGAAGCGCGCGCGCAGCGGAGCACCATAGAAAAGAAAATTTGGTAAACTATCCATCCAAGAAAATTTGGTTATGACGTAGCGTACGCCCGCCCGCCCACCCGTACACACACTTCATGTAAGCCGATGTCAAATGTCACAATAGATCTTGCACATCTTGGCTAGCCTCTTAGTTATGTAAACAATCCGTATGAGTACGATTAGATTGACAGCTGTCAAAATCAGACATCCGCTGACAATTATCAAAAGACCATCTCGCGGGCTCAGATGAAAGACCAATCGTTTTGCCCCTACATATAAGCTGATATAATATGTCACACTTACCAATTCAACATAAAAACGAAACTACGCCGGGCAAGACCGTCAGTTGGCAGTCGTTTAAAGTTATATTGGCAAGCCAAATTAAGGTCAATTGACACCTGTCAAAATGGGACATGTGCAGACCACTATCAGAAAACTAATAACGTGGGCTCGGGTTCGCTCAGGTACACGATCTGGTATTTTCTACTGCATGCCGGACGGATATGTCTACTCACACTCGTAGTCTGTTAATTCGAATATTCGCCATTCTATTGAAGGTTAATTGACAGCTGTCAAACTAGAGTATACGCTGACCATCATCACCTGAATGTATCGCGGGCTCAATTGTCTATCCATTGAGGTCACGTAGTGTTTAAAGTTTTGCGCTGATACTTTATTTGATCACGGGCTCAATTCGAAGTCCCATAGCTTAGAAAATCTATTCATCTTAGAAAATTCGGCAATCACGTGAC